AGTGTGGGTCCTTTTTTTCCTTTTTTTTCCTTTTTGTTGGGTGGTAGTAGGTGGGTGGGGGTACTATTAGCTCTTCTCTTAAAAGAAAACTAAAACAGTTATATAAATAATCACATTCTACAATATGAAGACTTTTTTTGAGAGAAAGGACAAAGTTTCAAACTTGAAAATCCCAACCCAAAACTATATATAAAATGATTGTTAAAAGAGAAAAGAGGACTTCCAACCCCACAGGTATAGTGAGAATTAATACAATCAGCTTTCAAAAAATCATTACTAATAGCATCAAAAACACCAAATTTGATATATGATACTAAGCAACCATTCCTCTATTGATCTACCATGCAGTTGCGCAGTTTAGCTTTCACAGTATTCATAACTGAAAATACTCTCTCAAAATTTACAATTGCAATGGGCAAAATCAATGTGAATTTTACGAGCTTATAAACAAGGGGATATATCACATCTTTACTCAATCCACCATCATTCTACAAGACTTGAAATTCTATTCAAGTGCAGAAACTTATTATTGCAAATCATTATAATATATGTCTATTAGCCTTTTGCTTCTGCTGTAATTGAGGAATCATCGTATATGCTTAACTTCAGCTTCCACACATGCAAAGCTCTTGCAAAAAAACCAAACAAAATTTCAGCGTCCCATTTGCCAATCCACCATTCCACCAAATGTACAGTTCTTTCCCAAGGCTTAAACCAATATCCTCAGTTTGACAAAGGAACATGCAATACATGTATAATTAAGGGGGATTGTTAAGTTATATAGCTTGGCTTCCAAGTTTTATTCTTAGCCAACTAACCTTAATAGATGAAATATAGAAGGAAGAAGAATAGAAAGATTTCTAAATCCACATCCCTCCATTCCAAACTCATCCTCTTCCTGCGCCACTTAGGTTGCAGAGGTAAGTTAACAAGGCTAAAAATGCTAAAGTGAGCAGGGACCGAGCCAAGGTGGGGGGTCTTTTTTTTTTGTTTTTTTTGTGTGTGTTTTTTTTTTTTTTGCACAGGAGAGATCTTCAAATGAAGGACATATTGAAACTTGAAATGTTAACATTTTACAATTCAATGAGTATATTCCCAAGAGGGTTCCTTTTACCTTCATTCTTGTTAACTGATAATGAAGCAGATACAGTTTCCCCAGTCTTCATGACCATTCCCGGCCACATATGAGCAGAGAGAGCTCCATACAGTCGTTGAACGCCTTGAATATCACCATCGACAGACAGACCTATCAAGAAATAAAATGATCTTAATTCTAATATTGCACAACTCATAGGGTGACAACAGAAATAACAACAATTCTTAAGAATTTATTTGATAACAACAGAAGCAAGATCTTATATGAGATACTTAGATTGTCTAGATGAACCCATTTTCACCATTCAGTTTTGATCACGACCGTCTCCTTTGTTACACTAGCAAGTCTTAAAACCTAATGTCCATTAAATATTAATGTGCTCAATAAATCAATAACATACATCATTTCTCTCCCAACCTACAACGCCTATCACTCTAAAGAAATCCTTCAGATATAACGTATATGTTACGTGTGAAACTTTTGGTACTCAAATTGAAAGAAATGAAAAATACTCAAAATCTCTTTTCGAAGTGCTCATATGGTGTCAAAGCTCTTTAAAATCAGAAGGTGCACAAAGAAGCTTACATTTATCAAAGTCAGCATTAGATGCACAAGCTTCAACATACTCTATGTTATGTTGGATACACCATTCTAACCAAGATTGCCTGATTTCCATTGAGGATTCCTCCTCTCCCAGCAAACTACATCCCTCATCTTCATCTATCCCATAATCCCAGAAATCAGGATGGGGATCACTTGTGGATTCTCCACGCTTCTGCAGGTATCTCCTATACTCCACATGGGCAGTATGACCAGGCACAAGATCAGCTTTATTTCCTATACATAATAATATTTCAAACTTCTCAAGATCAATGCTGGCAACCCAATCTTTGAGGGCAATGAAAGAAGACTCCTGTATGAATAAAAGACATTAACACTTACAAAAAAGACCACCAGTCAAAATAAATATGTAAGTAGAGACAGAAAAGCAAAAGTAGAGAGGGTGTCGGACATCACTCATGTCAAAAACCATCACCAAGCCAGCTAGGTCGTTAGAAATTGGCAGTGCGCCAAAAGAGAAATCTTTGTTGAGATCAGCTGTCCATATTGAGATATCTGCTGAGTAGTATTTAGTCTGAATAGTCCACCTGGTCAACAAATTAAGCCGCATAAAAATTATGAGTGCCTCGTTTGTCAACAACAATGATGCTACATATAATCTATTACCTATGTCATGAATTACATACCCTTGACAAAGTATCCCACCAGATAGGTCAGATGTATCCGGAACATCAGCGGAAAGCAATCCTGAATATAATCACAGACTGAAGTCAGATCCACACACTATGGATTCATACATGTTTGAAAAATATGAGAAATAAGTCAAAGAAAAAGTCTGCAAAGAAATTAAAAGCGGCTATAGCATCTGACTAACAAGATTACCAGGGTAAGTGTCTTATACTGTACGTATAATCACTAACAATGGTTATTTCTCTAATGATAGCTATAAGATACACTTAATTATAAATTATATTAACATAACCATGAAGCCTTCTATAAAGGGGCATAAACATAGTATGTATGAGTTGAAGTGAAGGGCGCAAGTAAGTAATAATAAGTAGAGCGGAACACTGTTGGCTGAACAAAAGACGTATGACTTGAGAAAGTAAGATCTCCGATCTGTTGTCGGAAAATGGAGCTCCAATGGTACTTTAGAATAAGAATAATGGAGAACTTTTCCAAATCTCTTGGCAGTAATCTCCTCATCCATGATTCCACAAATACACATGGACCTGTAAACCTAAATTTATATGCTCATGGTCAGACTCACATCTATGCATCTATGAATCCAATCATTTCCTCGTCCTTGGTTACACATGTATCCAGACATGAACTTGTGATCTCTATGTTTGTATCTGCTCATGCCTAAATGCATACGCATACAGAACATAATTATAGTATACTAAGAAAGGCAGCTATTCCAAGTGATTATACTGATAATATTAAATAAAAACAAAAATAAAGAGCCTTAGAAATTAAGAATCAGTAAGATGGATATGAACCATGCAAGTTGGATGCATAAAACCAAGATCACATACTTGACTTCTTACAACAATCAATCACATTAACAATTTAATGAAGTGCATTATGTTCAATAAAAGTGGATAATTCACACGAAAATTTTGATCATATGTTCAAGAGTTTTAAATAAAAAGCAACGCTCTGTGAACAAATCTTGTTTATGCATCAAGACATAGAACATGAAAGGTTTTGAGATATAGGGAGGCCTTGTGATTCAAGAGATAACTCACCAAAAGTATCCACCTATTCCATCATAAACTACATGCCTTCAACATATATAAATAATACATAATCTACATGGTAAGAAAATACCTATACAAAACGTCATGTGTTTCGGAACTAAAATCTCATAAATCACGAGACTTGATTCAGTGGAATTGTTGAAAACAAAACAAATTCATCTTAAAACCACTTGATAATGAGTAACTCTTCAAAAAATGAACTCTCATACCATAGAGGTCAAAAGAAACAAAATGCATCATCCAATATAATAGTGTACCACAAACTATATGATGAATACTGAGACATTTAGCAGCAAAAAGAGTATAGATCCTTTAAATTCATGGTTTTGTTCACAACCAACCGCCCACCCCACTGTCACCTCTTTGCTCTACAGAGTTTTACTTTTTGGTTTTTTGTTTTTCCTCTCCTGATTTAAGTAGTTCCTACACAAGTTCGTTGACTTTCAGAATTACAACAATCTATTTTTGCACGGCAACTATCGTTTTAGTAGTTACAACACAGGTTAGTTTCCATGAAAGTACATATTTAGAGATCTTACAAATGTGATGGGGGCCACTACTTTGCGCTTTAAGGGTTATGATGAGGGCTAGTCCGTTGCAATCAATATTAAGTATCGATATTAGATACAATAAAATTAGCCGCATTAAGTATCTTACTAGAGAATGCTTGAGTTGCTTACTTACGCTAGGTTACAAATCCAAGACAAAGCAACTTGCGTCGAAAAGTGAGGCCTAAAAAGTTAAGGCAGTTTATACTTTGATCAACCAATGACAACCCTCCAAAATTCTCATAACTAAACAACGAGATTGCAGGAAGGGAAGACGAAACTTTTGATTTCGCATTGAAAAATGAAATCCTTCAGTCACCCCCCAATAAGTTTAATGTAACATTTCATACTGCACAAAAACACAATTGCCATGGATCAAGTGATCGAACTAATTCGAAGTAATCATGCTCCAATAACTGCTGAAGATCATAGAACTCCAGATACCGTCATTAAAAATTGAAAATTTGAGGGAATTCGAGAGAGGAGGAAAAGAACCGAACTTGAGAGAAGAGTTCGCTTGCCGACGTTGGGAGATCCAATCATGAAGATGCCTGGCCTTCTCTCGAGAGATCCATCCTCTACGTAGATCTCTCTCATCATTGATTGATTCGAGATGAGCTAAATGGATGAAGAAACCCTAATCCAAACCCTAGGTGAGAGCTTTCTTCACTTTGCTTGCACGTTTATCTCCGTTAATCTCAGCAACCGAGTTTTCTTTTGGCCTAATATCAGAAAGGGTTAATTGCCAACAGACCCCTGCAGTATCACCCAATTGCGAATACATGCACGCCCCTACGGTTCAATTTGTGGAGACCCCCCTTTAGCATTGGTCCATGTGCGAATACACCCCTTTAGCGATATTTCCGCCCCTTTTAGAGGTTAGAAAATAGACCTGAGGATCTATCCTGCAAATAGAATTATAAGAGGGTTTTCCCGCCTCCTCAAACCTTTTTTATACTTTTAAGGGCTAAAAAATATTCACCCAAAGGGTCTATTCGCAAAATAGAACCATATGAGGTCTCTTCTCAGCTGGGTGATACTACAAAGGGCCTATTTACAATTAAACCTATAACCGCCCCTAACTTTTAAAATATCAGAAAACCTCTTTAAATTTAGGAGTTATCAGAAAACTCTCTTTAACTATAAAATAATATCGTTAGAAAACCCTCTGAAAGAGTGAGCCCACAATTTTCAAAAAAAAAAAAAAACACCCCTTGGCATAGTTTACCCCATCCATGTGAAACATTATGGTTAAATATCGCCAGAGGGCTTTTCTGATAAAATTGTAAAGCCAAAGAAAGTTTTCTGATAATCCCTTAACTAAGGCCGGACTTTTTGATATTTTGTAAGTTACGGGAGGTCGTCTGATAATTGGCAAAGTTAATGGAGGGTTTTATGATATTTAGCCTTTTATTTTCTCCGACATTGACAGATTGACTTACAGAAAAAGCCCTTTAAACTTTGAATTTCACTCTTCAATTATTCCTGCGACAGGCTAATTAATAGCTAATCTGAAATGTAAAAAATTTATGGATTATCACTTATCACCATATTTATATGAATATGAATCTTATCAGTCACTTGCTATAGTATCACTTGATTTAGGAGTCGGTCTGTATCATATTTGGATATTGGTCAATTTTTATTTATAATGACTAATTTTTTTAAAAAGAAACAACAGGTTTCACTTTTTTTTTTTTGTATATTTTGGTAAGTGTTCAGATATTAATGCATTAATTAGGATATCAAATAGTTTAGAGTTGTTTATATACTCAGCCATATTTCAGATGTAGAGAATAAATATGAATACCACGGGTTGATCTGGATGGCTGAGAGGTTCCAATATTTCTCCCACAACATTGGATTCGATTCCCGATATCTTTAATATCAAAAAAAATGTAGAGAATAAATATCAAAATTTGTAAATACCCCATGGTAGAATTAAATTCAGACCATTATTGATATCTAGTTGTATTCATATTTGTTACAGAGTATAAGATCCTCATTTCCATTACCTCCAAAATAAATTGTGTCGTTTAAAAGATGTTCTAGAGATTTTCATGAAACCTTATTACTCCTTGCCAAATACTCAAATTAGACTATTTTTTTGCTTTTAACAATAGAAATATTTTGTACTTTTGGAATAAAAGGAGTGCTATAATTCCACCCAATTGATTGATACTTGGCTTAGTCTTCGTATGAACTTTCTTGGAACTTTATTCCATCTAAACTTTAATTACTTGTAAACTTTAGCTGCTTCTATACTTCAACTTTTCTATCAAAACTTTTTCCCTAGGAAAGAAACATAATTTTCATATTTTTACTCCTTTTTTTCTGAGCAAAAGATAGGGGCTCACTGTGACGCCCCTGGTTTCACACAAAGCTGCAGTCCAAGATGCATCCAAATATGTCAAATCTACCATGCACCCAACATTGTGCATAACATGTTTCACCATCACATTAATATCGCTCTAGCAGATGTCAAAATAAGAAGTGAGGGTACAAACAGATATATCAAAGATGACAATATGAGGAACACAATATAGAGAAGAGACATCCAACAATAACTATAATTTTGTTCCAACAAAAGAAAAAAAATATATCTGGTAAACTAGAATAAGAACATCGAATCTCTAATACATGAGAGTCAACTGAAAAATATATAGACACTCAGCCTCCAAAATGAAATGTATCTCTAAAAGAAAACTAAACTCATAAATAGTCTACTATGGATCACTAATTAACTACTTATAATTAACGAAAATCTACACTGAGTCCCCGTCAACCTGCGACTCTCCGAACCCCTGACTCGCTGCCTGAAAAAGATGAAAACAACGAGCGTCAAAGCGCTAGCGAGAACATCTCCACCGCCCCCAGGGGGAAGGGATTTAGGTGTATATAAAAATATTAATCATAAAATATATAATTCATATATCCTGAGCTAAGAGGAGTTAAGATTTAGAAATCCACAACACGAGATGAGTAAATCGAACGAAATAATCCAAACAAGAAAACTCTCATATATATACCATGTATCTCAAATTGTGGAACGCTAAATATCAACTCCAAATCCTATAAATAAATAAATAAATAGCAAAGAAAAATACACCATCAACATCCCATCCAAGATAATTAGTATATATCGCATCATAATATCTCATGCTACCCTCGGGTAGGTGACACGGAAGCAAAAGTACAAACTTGTGAAGGCCTCGTTAAAATATACACCGCCATATAACAATGTCAAGTATTGGACTACGTTCATAAATAGTACCCGTCTGAGTTCTAGGCTTCCTAAATGTGTAGAGTGTAGTCGTCCACAGTATCATGCGGCTCACGGACTAACACATTCGGAGTGTAGTCGCCCGCTATATCATGCGGTACACGAACATGCGCACTCAACCACTAAAACAATGATGCATCACGGAGTGTAGTCGATCGCGTTCTCATTGCGGTGCACGGACTAACGCACTTAGGGTGTAGTCTATCGCATTCTCATTGGGGTATATTGACTAACACACTCAAGCATCTACAACTATCGTAAACCGAAATAATCGTCACTCCCTATCGTGACATACGCAAAAACATTAGACTACACATATCAATAGGCTCGTGCGTGCTCAAATCCAGTACGTGCCCTCTTATGAACTCGCAGGTGTATCGACGTGCGACTCACACTTCGTGTTCGCGATCAAAAGCACGTGAGAAAGATCAACATTACAATCAGCACTAGACCAATCGACCGATGTATCTCATCAGTCGACCGAGCAACGACGTGCACAAACATGCACAAAATCCAGCCTTAATCGGTTGACCGAATACATGTGTGACCGGCCGACCAGAGGAAAAATCCTAATTTCCTGCTAACTAATCGGTCGACTGATTTTATTGATCAATCGACCGACCAGAGAAAGATTTTCACTCCTGAGAAAAGATAGATTTTCTCAAAAATTTATCAAAGTCAAGATTTTCACTCCTGAGAAAAGATAGATTTTCTCAAAAATTTATCAAAGTCAAAATTTTCCAAAGAAACTCATATATAAAATCTCGATTTAGTGAAATTAGGGTTTACTCTGATATATGAAAACATAAATATAAAAATTTGAGGAATTCTAATAACCCTAACATGTTTATGTTTGTAAATTCATCATGAAAGCAAATAGATTAATATAAATCTCATGTTAGATTTACTTCAAACTTTCAACCCAATTTAAAGAACCCGTTTTATAATTTTTAAATCAGAAAGATTAAATCTTTACGTCATGCAGATAAGGGGTGATCTTTACACATAGAATAGCTTTTAAAATCTAATAAAAACCAAGAAAAATAGGGATGGGTTTGGAGGAGATGAAACTCGCCTCAAATTTTTGTGCTAATCTCTCAAACGCAAGAGAGACTCGATCCTCCTTCACCAAAACCGAAGATCTCGCCCTCCTCTCAAACCCTACTTCACAATTCTTCTTCCAAAGCAAGATATAATTTCTCTAGGGTTTTGAGAGGGGTGGCTGCTGCTCAGAATGTGAGGGATGATGGAGAAAAGAGGAAAACGCGCGTGCGCGCGCACACACACACACACATACAAAGCAGACCTGACGCGAAATTCAACTCTAGTTTCTGGAGCCCTATCGGTCGACCGATCCTTCATATCGGTTGACCAACCAGAAGATGGTCGAAGATAATCGATATAATTGATCTCTAATCGATTACAATCAGGTTCATTTGTCCCATAATGACCATCAACCACATTAAAACTCATTTATCATTATTCACAATAGTATTTTCAAATTTACAGGGTTTTACATTCACCCCTCCTTAAAGAGAATTTCGTCCCTAAAATTCATAAATCACCAGATATGTGTCATATACGCAATATCTACACTTAACATCTAGAATGTGAATACCCCCACTAAACCTCTAATTAAACAGAACTAGTACGTTGGGCAAAAAATCTAAACAAGAAACCCCCATGTATATACCATAGTTCCAAATGATTAGATATTTGTAGGCGTCAAAAATTATCTATAAGTCCCAAACTTAGCTCAAGACAAAGAGAAGATGAAGAACATCATCATCTAAATCAGATAAAATCATCCAATGCAAAAGGAAGCAAAGAAGAACGCAAAACAACTCAAAAAAGGACTTGGACTATCTCACTGTTGGTGAGACAGTCCTAGTTGTCTCGCCAACTACGAGAGAACCTTCCAAGTCCTCAGCGCGTTTTGTTGGGTTTTATGGGGTCCACTTGGCTTCATAACTGCTTGGGAACGCTCATTAACATTAATGGGAAGTTATATCCTAAAAATTTTATGTACTGATTTTAAGACTTAAATAATCTTAAATTTATTTTATAATATAATTTTTGATTTAAATATATATACATCATATATTATGAAGCAATGATTTTTATTTATGAATTTAAATACTATTTGAAATTTTTTTTAAGGGAATAAATATATTTTGATATTCGATAAGTATTCGTGAGTATTCATGAATATTTATCAAATATCAAGTATTCGAGTTCGAATTCGAAAAACTCCATATATGAATATTAGAGTCCGCATTCGAATTCGATAATTTTAAACAAATACAAATACGAACATCTTAGTATTCGATTCGATTACATAGTTTACACCCCTAATAAAATCCCCTTCCCACATTTGGTTAATTTATTTCAAATGAGATATTAGATTACAAACACCCAGCTACGCCCAAAGGCTTAAGAATTACAAACAACAGTCTAAACAATTCTGAAACAGACCCCTAAATGTGAAAAATGACAAATAATCCCCTATAATTTTAAAAACAGGCCCTGAAATATTTCCAAGCAGCGTCCTAAGAGTTACTAAAATTGTAACTAGCCCCTTGAAGTTTTACAAGCAGCCTTCTGAAATTTTAAAAATTACGAATAACACCCCAAGAATTATGCAAACAGCAAATTGAAAGCGTTGAAAATTACAAATAACCCCTAAAATTTTACAAACAGCCACCTGAAAATTTTCAAATTTACAAATATCCTCTAAAACTTTTTAATCAGCCCTATGACAATGTCAGAAATGACAAACAGCCCCTGCGGTTTCTGCAGACAGACAGCACTCTGAAATTTTATTCAACCTCAGACTTATTCATCGTGATAAGAGTGCACTTGCTCAGTTACAACACTGGAATAACTTAATATGGTCCATTGTGTCTGCTGATATAATCTCTCAATAAAAGAAAACAAGACAAATTAAAGGTGAAAATGTTATATAAAAAAAATTAGGAACGAGATATATATCAAAGCCAATGTCCATAAAATATAAAAAGCACGACCTATCCATGATTCACATTGCCACATTTCTTGTCATTTTCAATCATAGGATCTTTGTCCTCGCCTTATCCACTCTAGCTGCAATTAAAAATGTTTAAAAAAAGAAAAAGAAAAGAAAAACAGCCAAAAGACAAAATAAAACAAAAGGATCAAACATATAATGCAACCACGTCAGTTCATAGTATATAACAACTGTTATTGCTGATTCTTTAGCTATAATATGCTCTTAACTAGGCATTAACAACTCAAGAAATTTTCATTTCCTCCAAAAGGGAAAAAAAAGCTCAAGAACTTTTTTAAAGAAAATAATAATAATAATAATAATTTGAATAACACATTAGTGATGATCGGTAATTTAAATGATATACTGTAATAATTTCACAACAAAATGAAGCTATATTGTATATACTGTCAATAGATCAGCATTCACATCACATTCAAGCAACAATGTTGT